AGGCCCCAGCCTCCTGTCATACGGGACCAGTGGTAATAGGGGGTTTAACCCTAAACCCAACCTCTGACCCCTAACTCTAACATTAACCGTTTACCCCACCCCTAACCCTTACCCTTAACCCCTAAGCCTAACCACTAACCATAACCCCTAAGAGGTACGGCCACGAAATAAGATCTTGCCTAATTTTAATATATGGAGACTTTCAAGGTTTAAGTACTAGGGTATTGGCACTTTTTTGAAATCAGCCTTTGCGGACAGTGCGATTAGTTTGCTTACTGCTATTTGCCTAGTGGAGTGGAACCTTAGTGATCATGCTCTGCACTGATGTCCGCGATGTTGTGCCGTATTTTAGTCCGTCTTTCGACGAATTCTCAGTGAAATGAGACCGCCCGACGAGTCCCGTCGCATTGACCGTAACCTTCTTCACTGGCGCCCTCCAAAAGCCAGCCAATCTGCGAACACGGAAGCTCCTGTCTGACAGTGATATGTAGACTGCATTCCTCTCTATGTATACGCCCATCAGAGTTCTTTGTGCATTTCAAGATTTTAAAGCATTGTGACTACCGACAACTGTCGTTACCGGAGTTTTTTTAGTGCATTTACTGTATTTCCTAATTAAATTAATTACATATTTTTGTTACCCGCACGTGATTTTTTTGGAGGGGGGGGGGGACTCGCTCTCATCCCGTTGAAAAACCGAGATTAATTATCTAGCCCTACTTCACGTGTAAGGGGCGAGAGATACCAGTGACCGACTTTCCGACAAACACGCTGACGTACCTCAGCATCCCGGCGCCGTAACGTAATTTACTTCAAGCTGTGGCTTTTTAGGATATTGGCTGGTACGAACGCCTCGACAGTTGGCGAGTAAAGAGGGAAGGCAGCTCCGAACGGTCGTAAGATGTGGAGGTTGTGAGTCTTCCGGGTGGTCGAACCGTCTCATACCCGAACTCAGACCCTACAACAAAGCAGCTGATTTCGCTCATCCGATAAGTGCGATACATGTGTTTTTTCGTTGTTGTTCACATTTCCCGTCTGTGTGCCCTGTCTCCGCTGCAGGACGGCAACTTGGTGGCCTCCTAGTCTGTTGATTTATTGATGCGGGCTGTGTTTGTCTAGCCGTGTGAACCTAGGCGCAGGATTTAGGCGCTCACATGATTTAACCGTTGTTCCAGGACCTACCGCTGTGTTTTCCAGTCAACGATAACAAAGTAACGGCAAGGAAAAGAACCACTGTTTGACCATTTTGGGCTTGTTAATCCTCGTCAACTAATCCCAGGTGTGGGTAACCTCAGATTCGAACCCACGCTCCAAGGCAAACGCTCTACCATTGAACCTGTATCATTTCTGCCTGCCAGGGCTCTGCGTTGAACCCCCAAGGCGAGCATGTCCCGTAACCTGGTCAGCGAACGCACATCCCACGATAGAGGTAGCGGATGCATTCCCACCAATGACATCTAATATCATTTCGTGCACTGTCTCAGACGGCTGGGGTCGGCGGGTCTGAAGGGACTGTAAGGGGTTCGATTAGTGACATGCGGCGATGGACTTGGGGGGTTTTTTGTGGTGCTGTTAATGCGAGTGCAGCCTAATGCGCGATGACTGCTGGAAGGGTTCAAAAGTGCCCCTTTTGACGATGGTAGAAGGGCAAGCATTCCCGGTCTCAACCCCCCTGCTTTCAGTACCTTCATTCCGGCCCTTCGACAACTGCCCGTTACATCTGCTATTGGACATTACCAGTGACTTTTATACTCGTCGCCCTGTCCGGCTAACTTATGAAGCCTAGTAGTTAACCTGTGACGCCGGTCCAAAATGAACAACGCACCATCCTTTGCCTTTGCGGGGGACCATCTTGTGTATTCTAATGGAAGAAATGCTGTCCCGGTCCCAAGTGGAAGCGGAATTTAATCATTTCAAGTAAAGTAGGCCGAAGGAGGATGCTGAAATCGTTAGCGGGAACGTAGCCAAAGCTAAAACGGAAAAGTGCAACCCGGTGTGTTGGTATAGAGGTAGGGTTAGCCTCAGGGTTTGGGTTATTGTTAGGCTTAGGGTTTGTGATAGGTTTAGGGTTAGGTTTAGTGTTACGTTTGGGGTTGGCGTTAGGTTTATAATTACGTTAAGTATTAGGTTTACTTTCTAGGTCACCATCCCTCTTCGGCTTACTTTACTTTCAATGGCCACATTGCGCTTTCACTTGGGACCAAGACAGCATATTCGACCCTTGCCCAAAAATCGCTTCTGCTAATCCCTACGCCACTTGCTCTAATATGGCATATTTGATTTAAGGTTCTTCTGTCAGCCTGTTCACCACAAATGAGACGCGATCTAACGCGAACGATAGTTAATAAGCCAAATGTTCAGGCATAAAGGTTCTCACATGCCTATCAGACGCCCCCCAAAAAGGAGCCTTCATGATCTCACGCTTAAACTTCTTCAGGAAACCACCTAGCTGTCCAGATGACGCGATAGGCACCTTCGAGAATTTCGGAAATCATAAAGAAGCAGTGTATGGTTGTTGGGTTAATATTGTGGAGGTATACACGCACTGTTCCATTATGGGAGGAACATCTTTTCTTCCGGGCGTACGAAGCATATGTGCACCAACAAAAAAGGATGGGAGTTTGAGGCTACTGGTGAACTAACCCAAGTGCAATACATGCTTGTCGATTTCGCAAGGGATTTAGTTTTCGATGTCCTTCGCGTTGTAGGAGAATAACAGTTAAATTGAAATCGCTGAGCGAAATATATATTATTGTGAGATACTGATTAGCTGGTGAGGATCGGAGACACATGTTCGCAATTCGGTCTTTAGGTGCCAGTCAAACAGCGTTCGAGCGTACTTTCTTGCCTTATGCCATATTGGGCGATGAAATCCCTCCCGGACACTAGCATTTCGCCCACTAAGGCAAAATAGTGAGTGTCGTGGAGACAGAGTCCCCAGACTCAACTGCACTTTCTCCCTCACCTCGACACCAGTCCACTGTTTGAGCCGATAAGCCATCTAATGCTGAGACTGGTCCCAGTTGGCTGTCGCGGCGTGGGACCACGCCTAGACGTGCCAACGCACCATGTATGGCATTTACTCCGCATGCACCATTTACATAACACGTATCGTACCCTCATCTGGCCCACTGCGTGATCCGTTGCAGGGTGCACACCCACAACACACCAATGGTTTACGTACAAAGAGGTCTTTCCTTGTTTTTTTCCAGACCACAAGCAGATTTTCCATGCAAAATAAAGAAAGTCACGCGACGCAAGCAGCTGTCGCTTTCTTCTAAACATATGCTCATGCCAAATAACTGGTGACCCTTATATTTATTGCATCCTTCAATAGTTAATATTTTCCGTCGTATTGCCTTTGTTCAGATCTGCCAAGTTTCCAGAGCTTGGGAGGTTTTCTGTCATATGAAACCTTTAAACTGAACTGCGTTAGCCGCCAGCCGTTTGTCAGGAATTTGATGAATCATTGATAAGCGTAAGTGAAGAAGAAGAAGAAGAAGAAGAAGAAGAAGAAGAAGAAGAAGAAGAAGAACAATCGAGCACCGGAACACTTTGTTTATTGTCCTGAGCTTTCGGACTCGTGCAGGAGTTCATCGCCAAAGTTAGTAGGAGCAACAGAACAAGCGACTGTTAGAGGACATGCAGGCCAATCAGCAACCGACGACGCAAGACTGGAGTTGACTACGCAGGACTCTCTACGCCGGCGCCAGATCGGTAAATTGATTGACCGCGTTCTCATCCGAGGCCCAGGCTTCAATCAATCCCCAGCATATTTTGTTTCCTGCGTGGGTGACAAAGTGTTCCGGTGCTCGACCCTTCTTCTTCTTCTTCTTCTTCTTCTTCTTCTTCTTCTTGTTCACTTATGTACACACCTGAAACCTGAAATTCCGCCTTCATTCATTGACAAGCCTGTATTGCATTGTCATTATGATAGTTTCCATGTGCAGGCCTAGGGGAGGAGACTTAAATGTATAGGACAAACAGTGGAATGCTTCCACAGCACGTATACACGAAAGAGTAAGATGTGGTTATGTAGCCCTGACTGATTGGCACAATACTGTTGGGGTTGACATTATGGGTTAGGCTTGTGATTAGGGGTTAGGGCAACTATATATCAACCACTCAATGCACAATCGCGCATTCCCAATAGCTTTAATTTTTCATTCAACTACTTAATATCGTCGCCTGTTCGTTCTGCGGCTCCACCTGTAAAAACCCCTATCGCCATCAGTCGCGTATTACAGGCGGCTGGGGTCTGTTTACCTCAGGTGCGGCTACATAACCACATCTGACCAAGCACTGAGTTCTACCTGTTCCGCGGCAGTCCTGTGATGACTTAAGCCTGCCTGTCCATACCTGCCTATATTGGCTCGGTTACTGGTTATGACCTGAAATCCATGATTTTGCTCTTCACGTAAACACGCAAGAGGCAATGTTGCATTCGTTGGGTTTTTGGGACAAGCTGTCTTCAGGTTTGGACCATATCTTTGGCCTGAAACGAACATCATCAAGAGAATTTCTAAGTGTGCTGTCTGCTAAAAAACGAATTGTTTATTCTTGAACGCACATTAAAAATAACAGGAAAGCAATTCAAAACATAACAGGACGATCGAGCAGCAGTTTGTACCCGCGATCGAATTCACTGCGTTTGAGTAACATTACATAAGCACTTGGTAACACTGACTTTTAGGTGAGGGTAGGGTATATAACCCCCCTCCTGGGTGATTGCCGTTGTCCCCTCTCGCTGCTCGCAGTGGCGTGCTGTCTGTATATAGTACTACCGTGTGACCGACGCTTGAATTCTCCCTCTCGCTGTCCAACCAGCAATCTGAAAAGGATTTTTTAACTTTGTTTTAACTGCACGCCACTGGGCGCGTTTTTCTTTAATAAAACCACTTTCCCCGACCCGCAGTTGCATTCTTAACCTGTCTGTCGCATTTATGTGTGTGTGTGTGTGTGTGTGTGTGTGTGTGTGTGTGTGTGTGTGTGTGAGACAAATGCAGCTGCGCTGGAGCAGCCACCTGGTGCGCATGGACGACGAGCGACTACCCAAACGACTCTTCTACGGAGACGTCGCGACGGGTTCTCGTCGTCAAGGAGGCCAAATTCGCCGTTGCGAGGATACCTTGAAGTCCTCCCTGAAGCGCCTGCAAATCAACCCGACCAACTGGGAAGAGCTCGCCCGCGATCGTCCGACATGGAGGAGAACAGTGAAGACGGGCGCTGCTATCTACGAAGCCAACCGCATCGCTGCCGCCAAAGCGAAACGCGAAGCCCGCAACTCACAATCTCGCCCAGTCCGCAACGCCGCCGCACAACCGCTCCCTACGTGTCCTCGATGTCACCGGACATTCCGGGCACGAATCGGACTTGTTGGACATCTTCGGATCAACTGCACCTCTCGAACTGCTCCAGCCATCGTCCCCCCGCCCGCCTCTTCCTCGTCCTCTCTGCCGCCAACTAACTCTGACACTCCTTCTGAACCACCACTTCCATCCTCGTCGTCCTCCTCCTCCTCCTCCTCCTCCTCCTCTTCCTCCCTCTCCACTGCCCCAGCGGCGGCCGTTCAGACTGCCGTCTCACACATCACCAACCCCAACACAACAACCGCCACCACCCGCACCTCCCCCGATCCCAGTGATGAGGATCAGGACTGCACCTGCCCTCACTGCGACCGCACCTTCACCTCTCGCATCGGCCTGGTCGGTCACTTGCGAATCCATCGCACAGAGACTGGCGAACCAGTGCCTGGAGCACCAACCTACACTCACCGCACTCGCCTCCACTGCCCACAATGCCCTCGCACCTTCACGCATCGCATGGGTCTATTCGGCCACATGCGCATCCACGAGAGCGGAATTGACCGCAGCCTTGACACACCCACCCCGCCGAGCCCCACTCCCAATCCACCACCTTGTGCACCCACTAACCACTCCCCAGCCGACATCGACGCCACCGACCTTACCACCCCTCACTCCTCCCCTTCCTACTCCTCTTCTTCCTTCACTGCCACAACGACGGCCGCTTCGGCGTCTGTCGCCCACGACTTCACCACAGCCGAACCTGGCACAATAACAGGCACAAGCCCTGCAACCTCCATCATCAGACGTGAGGGCCAGGGCTACATCTGCCCTCACTGCGATCGCACCTCCACTTCACACATCGGCCTGGTCGGGCACTTGCGAATCCATCGCACAGAGACCGGCGAACCAGTGCCTGGAGCACCAACCTACACCCACCGCACTCGCCTCCACTGTCCACACTGCCCTCGCACCTTCACGCATCGCATGGGTCTATTCGGTCACATGCGCATCCACGAGAGCGGAATTGACCACAATTCCGATACAGCCACGACGTCCAACACATCCACCACGCCCAGACCCATCCTCGCTCCACCGTCACACGCGCCGACCACCACCAACACCACTGCTTCCTCTACAGTTGACACCGACACCGCCGACCTCTCATGCCCACATTGTCCACGCACCTTCACCTCACGCATCGGCCTGGTCGGTCACTTGCGAATTCATCGCACAGAGATTGGCGAACCAGTGCCCGGAGCACCAACCTACACCCACCGCACTCGCCTCCACTGCCTACACTGCCCTCGCACCTTCACGCATCGCATGGGTCTATTCGGCCACATGCGCATCCACGACGACCTGCGGTAGACAACCGCCGGTCACACCACACATTCCCTCACCCCCTACCTCATAACACTATCACCCCACCAGACATCAACCCCCACACACCTCATGCACTCAACTGCCGCCTCCCACGCAAGTGGGAAGTGTACATCTCGACTCGGTCCCCATGCGGCTTCGGCTGCACGGGTGACTTGTGTCCGAGACTATCCCGACACGTCAAGCGTCGTGGATAGGAAGGTTGCTGATTGAGGCCTGCTCTCGGTTCACGCAGTTCGTCATGTTGTGTGTGTGTTGTGTGTAGTGGCGGACTGGTGGGCTGGGGATGGGCCGAAGCAGCACCTTCCACGGCCCTCTCACGCAAGTGGGAGACACGCCGTTCTACCCCCGTTGTGTGAAATCCTGGTGTTTGTGTGTGTATGGGGGGCCAGGTCGTGCTGTGGCGCGCGCAGTCATGGTCAGTCGACCATGACAGCCACCGCGCCCATTCCCCACTCCAGTCTGCTGACCGGCTCAGACAGCGGCTGGGGTGTGGGAGTGGGAAGGGAGAGTGAGGTCGACGATTCAGCGCACTTTCTCCTCACTATAAACAATCTGACGCGCTTGAAGCTATCACGGTGCGCTAAAAGCCGTGGCTTGGAAGGTTGCCAACTGACGGGGTACCTTAGACCTCCTCCTTAACGGGAGGCGGTCTGAGAGTCAGGCTGCAATGGCTCCTTTTTAATGTGGCCTTTATGGCATTCCCACCATAGTGTGGGATCCGTGCCAGGTGTCGGCGGCACGCCTAGGTGCGGCTTCGGCCGTGCCAGCCTCCAAATCTCTGTTGTGTTGGTTGAAATCCTGGTTATTGTTGTGTGGACCAGGGGGTGTGGCGGAACGCCAAGGTGAGGATCCGTCCGAGCCATCCACTTGCGGCCTCTCTCGTCTCCGGTCTTCTTGACTCTGTCTTGACACCGGGCTCGGGCGAGGGAGGAGGAGAGAGTGTAGGTAGATGCTACGCAAGTCTACTGGCACTATAAACCCCTGCGTAAGTCACCGTCCCTGCTCCCACCGCTGCTGCAGCTGTGGGGCATACGGCGGACATCGTCGAAATCGACGGTCGAACTGTCGGGTGCTTGGACGTATTGGATGCAAAGGAACGCTTCCACAGCTTCTGTAGGCCACAAATGAATAAGGGAACTGACACCACGCTACTTACAACGGAATTGGTACCCCAGAAGTATGCATAAAATGTACCCGATTAATCAGCGTTGTCTTGGAAATTTTTAAGCGGAAGTCGTCTGCAGAGTAGCCGAGTGATTTTAAGTGGATACGTCGAGGCCGTAGCATGTATCAGGGGACACTTGATCGACCGAGTAAACGCAAAGTCTGGGTCGCCGAAACTGGAGCTTTATTCTCCTGCGGTTTCATGATTCACACTCGAACCCATCATCAAAGGCAGGCTCGGATAGGGATGCACTTGCTTTGTCACTGCATGTCTATTAACATTGGCGGGTCTCGCATTCATCGCGAAGAGTTGCACGGGCAGTTCCTGGAACTCGCGTCTTCGCTCCTGTCGACACAGAGCGGTATTTAGCATCGTTAAAAGCCAACTCCAATTGTTGCTGTCGTCATAATATGCTGCACCGTGCAACCTCCGCCTACGCGTATAACTTTCACTGCCCTAATGCCTGCTGGAAGTACATGCTTATCGTAAGGCAATCTCTGACGACAGCCGTCTAGTGAGACGGCTTCTGCATTCCCAGCCAGTCGCCTACGCACAACAAGCATGTTCTACTAAACGCTCCCAGGGCTTTCTTGTAGGACCGTCAGCAATAGTTTGGCGTTACATTGGCACTAGGTGCAGGCTGTCGTCTATCTTCCAGCCGCCTTTTATCTCCTCTGGCGTTTTTTACTAATCTTGTGATGGGGTAGGGTAAAACATCTCACTTGGGCGAGTGTCATTAGAAAGGCCATTAGTACGGTCTCATAATAAAGGGGCGACGGACCTGTCGACGTTCACTTTCTTCCTCTCTGTGACCAAAATTAGGGTGCCCGTTAAGTCCCAAGGTAGGGCAGATGGGTGGTGTCGAGCTGCAGTCTGCACCGATTTTCGAAAGACGCGTGCCTGCAATTCTGCACATGCTTTCTACCAAATGAGAACATTCGGCAACGGTATAGAAAAGGGCCCCACTTAACTGTCAGTAGACTGTGGATCGTGTCATACTTGATTTATGGCAAAGGGAGTTTTATGGTCGGGGGAACACGCTAGAAAGTAAACCAACAAGGTGAAAGAAAACACAGAAATTGTCTGAATTTATGCCTAAAGTTTTATTCTACGCTCCCGTAAGACAAAGAAATTGCGAGTAGTTATGAAACAAAAAACAAAAAGTAAATTTCCCAAAAATGACGGATTTTGAGCTAAGGTGTGAAGTCGTGGGAAGTGATCGTCGTTGGCAGTGTAATCTCTGAATCATCCTGCAAATGTATTACAAGATAAAATCCCATAGGGCATGATCCATATTCAACTGACAGTTGAGTGGGGTCCTTCTCTATACCGTTGCCGAACATTCCTTGTTTGAAACTTCCGTTCAGATGGGATGGCTGGAATTAGACTTTGAGTCATCAAAGGTTTCGGATTCCCACTCGAAAAGGGCGCCATGTGCGCACAAGAGGGAAGGAGGGGGACAGTGTTAACAGGGTGCAAATACCGTGGGACTACCTACCTACTCTAATTAGTAGGTCCTACCTTTACCGTGGTTAGACCAATTTACTAACACCGAAGTTATTCGTAAGCTAGTCCGACCACGAAAGCATGCTAGCTTTTGGCTTAAAACCCTCCTAAACACTGGATTAATTCTACACCTGAAAAAGCAACTTTATTAACTACTGGGCACTTTCGCGGGAATTTATGTGCGTTTATTTATTTACATCTCGCAGAAGGAATTCGCAAAAGGTTTGCTTTCTATACCCCTTTTTATGATCTCACTTAAACTCTGCATACATTACTTAAATCCAGTGCTTATTTCGGTTTTAAGATGAAGCACAAGATCTCGTAAATCCTCAGATGCAACCAAATTGTGGGTAGGGGTTCTAAGCTATATGCCATACATCTTTACAATTGCAGTCAAGTATGTCTGCGTACACATATTGCCACAGTAATCCTCACAGTCCCCGTAAGCAAGCGTGATAATTGTGCAGAATTTCGTATAATATGAAGGTAACACCAACAAACCGAAGAAGGGTCAAGTATGACCTTTTGTGAATTGTAAGGGAAGTTACGCATCAGTGGCCAACAGGTTAAAAAAGGATACTTCGTACCAGAGAGGCGGGCGAGGGATTACATCTAACTCGGACCCAAATGGACCTTTCTGCCGTTCAACAAGGCATATAGTGTGCATTTGGTAAGGCAATTATTCTGCAATGAAGCCCCTCGATAAAAGAAACTCTTAGACCGATTTTGTGGAGATGACGCTCGCACATCCATAAATATCGGTTGAACTTACATTATAGAAAGCAAACGATTGATATCTGCGCTATGACCTAGCTTTACGGTATCTGCAACGACCGGTAAGTATGTGGCTTTTCTAAGTACAATCGATAACGTTTCAGCCACGTGAAAACACGCGGTTAGACTAAGCGGAAGATTTTCCGCATTTTTAATTATATACAGCGATTACGATTGAGCCAAATACTTTCTTTAATCTATTGCTTAACTCCTAGTATTTAGTAACACACTTCGTGCGTGCAAGAGTCTTAAGTAGCGCATTTTTATGAATTTTCACTGCCATTTAGGCATAAAAATTATGCAAAGAAATTTCATCCATGCAACATTTTCATTTATATAACAGAACCGAAGAGAAAAAATACGTTCCGAATCATTATCATGTAGTAAGCCATGGTTGCGAGACGAGGCAGCTACTTGAATACAAGTCGGACAGTCGTATTTATTAACGAGGAAATCACCTATAAGTGGAAAATTGCAAATATCTTCTTCAGGCAATTCGTTTAGATCCCATTTCTTCCAGCTCCCTGCCGTCAACAAATCGTAAAGACAAGCGAATTTCTTTTCTAATTTTAAAGTTAGATTGTAACCCTTTAAAAATGTCTCACTTTGTAAAAATTTTATAAAATCATTTTTTTTCTTCGTTATGAAAACTTATTTTGCAATCCAACTTGCGACAATGCCAGTTTCATTGAGTATGCTTCTACAAAGTGACCAATCAATGGTGAAGGGAGCTCTATACGCTCATAAATGCATCGGCCCGGTGACGAATTTCAAAAGAACGCAAATCACCAAAGTTCCTTCCAGTTGTATACTGCACGAAAAAGACCGAAAGATGTGACCCCAAACTATAAATCCGACCCAGTAAGTATTACTGCTGCATTTGGGTACTACGGAGTGAGTTACATAAAATCTAATCAAGCTGTTGCATCTCCTATCTCCTTTGACTTCCCCAATTGTTTTGACCAGAGTGCTGAATTTCAGCCTTTCATAATACTAGGAAGAGTCGTTAGAAACTTTCGAGAAGAAGGCAATACGTTCACATCACGGACAATTTACCAGTCTGTGTAATCCAAAATGACAGTATCTTTGATTCGACAGCAAAAAACAAAAGGGGCTTTAACCCCGATCACATTTTAGTCAAAATTATGATTTAGATTTTCGGCCCCCTGGGCTGAAGACCTCGGCGGACTGCCAACTTGCAATAATTCAGAAGCAACCTTATCCGGCCACGTCCTCGTTTGTGTGATTTGTGAATAATCGATCGACAGGCAATACGTGGTTCCCTACGTGAGTTACAGGCCGCGGTTACAGGGCATATGTGAGCCCTTGTGCCCCCTGATGCAATATAATGCAAGGGTAGTTTCTGTGTGGATAATTAACATGAGGGCGTTGCCGAAAGCCATTATGGCGTCCTTTCTCAAGGTCCTGTTGTCTCATGATCATCCGTTTTCGCAGCCACTCGCCCGACTTCAACTCGGACTCACGTGCATCCACGTGCCTCCTACTTTGCGAGAGTGTGAATAAAACCGTTTATAATGTG